TTTTTTTTTTTTTTTTTTTTTTTTTTTTTTTGCAAATGAACTAAAATGTACTTTAAAAACTTAGGAAAAAAAAGAAGGTTGAAACATCTTACATCTTGCTAAGAACATAAAACTTTGATTAGGTGCTGCTTCGTATCTTTTGTTCTGTATTTGCAATTACAGTGAAACAATACCAAAAACTTTCTTGCTTAAAACAGATGAAACTGTTTTTCGTCACTTCAGACGGCACTTATCTTTATTTAATCTCGTTTACAAATTGGCAGTCAGTTGAAATAATTAATATTTTTGATGTGTATACACAAATGTACATAAATGTTCATCTGTTTAAATCTTTTTTGTTAAATTTACCACAACTTTATGAACATTGGTTTAGTGCTTACGTAAAATAATATGTCATAGATTTATGCTATAATAATCAAAAAAAAAAAAGTTGTTAGTGCAAACCTAAAACAAAAAACAGCTGCTGTTATATAAATCGTAAATTACTGGTTAAATAAAAAACTTTTTTTATCTTTAAGTCTTTCCTTCTCTGCTCTTTGTATAGGTAGTCTTCAAAAAGGAAGCAAGAAAGATTTCTTCTGAATTGTAACCGTCTGATTCCTCACTTATAGTAGTAGTTCGTCATTATTTCATACCATATTCCGGAACATAAAACTCTGTGGCGAAAAAAAAAAAACAAAAATTTCTGAAACAGTGTTGTAGTATCAATCGATGTACCTCTTATCCAGTATAATAAGAATCTGTAGAGCAATAACGAAATAAAAATTTGATTAAGCGGCAGAAATGCTTACCGGTTGTTGTCACATGGCAAACAAACTCTAAGGAAAAAAAGTGAAAAACAAACTACTGATTACGAGTACACTAAAAGGAAAAACATTAAAAAACACTAAGGAATGAGATAGATTAGATTATTTGTTTTATATTCATTAAATTTACCGCATATTATATAGTCGTTTCAACAGTTTACTAAACAACTAAACGCAGAAAAACTTCGAAAGTGTTCTGGCTTCGCACATTGTTCAATAGGTTTATTAATCATATCAACTTTTTTTTAAAGCAAAATAAACCATAATTTTTTAATGCTTTTATTAAATATGTAATTTTTCGACTGCATTATAGAAAAGCGAAACTTAGATCTATTGTACAATTGCAAAACGACATAAAGTTTTGTCATTTCGCTGACATAAGGAGCTATCGGTCCAGAAATTCACTAAATTGCAGTAGAGTTCTTTTTTTTTTTTTTCTGTCAAATCATTTGAAACGGATGAATGATTTTAAATTTGGAAGGAAAAAAAATTTTGTAACCAACAGGGACTGAATAATGGATGAACCTAATATTAGGCAATGGCTCTTCGTTTTTCTTTTCGCACTATTTCACACAGATCACTTTCCAAAGCACTTAGAATAGCAGCATTTGTAAAGTTGCTAACCTCGATGCTGATACACACTACGATCATATGGCAAACCATTTGGATAAAGATTTTTTTGTGCGCACAAACACCCAGAAGATGAAGCCAGCAATTTTATTTGATGCTTAACTTTCTCTGCTGACTCCGCATAACATGATATCATTCGCATATCAACTCTAGGATACGCTGAAAACCGCTTCCAGTCAGTATATGCAGTTGCATAATCACGAGTTTTTTCAAATAACTGTCTGTGTCTAGTCAATATAATCTAATTTATACCTGCGTATTAGACTTATCGCCTTGAAAAATCTTATTAAAAAGCGGAAATCTGCGTAAATATTTGATGATTTTTTAAAACATCTGCAACACTGTCTACCATTTCTTTCACCAAAAAGAAAGAAAAAAAAGCAAGTAGTGCAAAAATATGCTCTTGGGACAAAAATAAAATAATTGCGAAAAAAAGAAAACAAATTTTAGCAGATATAAAAAGTGACGCTTCAAAAGAAAAAAAAAATACAGAAGAGTTTCCAACTAGGTAATGCTTTCCAGTTTTCTTAAACATCTGTAGCAGTTTTCATAAGTTTAGACTGCAAAGAAAAATTTTTTTCTCAATCGTTCACAATTGTGCAGTTTTATTTCTTTATCCAAACTGTAAAATCTGTAAAGCAAAAGACAAATCGCTCATAACTATTAGTTGCCAAGTGAATGATTTTTGCTGAAAAGTTGCAAAGATTACTTACCACCATTAATCACACTACCTCATTTTGCTATCATCCTATACAGAACTTTAGTATACCCCTGTTCACTTCAGCACAAATAACAGGTTAAACAAAATAATTAATATGATCCAAAGTTGGCAAAAAAATATTACAAAAGTCGCATTTTTGGCAATTTTTCTTGACAGTTTTTTAATACATTTTCCAATACGTTAGCCTTCAAATACATAAACTGTCAACAACTGAATGGACAATCCAACTGCGCTGAAACTAAGCAGAGTCTTTGATTCTAGAATTAGCTAATCAAAAATTCTTGTACTTATTACCTTCGAAAAGGTGAACATAAAAATTTGTCATGTTAAACGAAACTGCTTTTTAAATAACTGCTCAAATTCAGTTTCATGATATTTGGAAAAAATTAATTTCGCTTGTACTTCAGGCTTTGCTGGAACATTTATTCTAGACCAAAATTATAATAACGATTTAGAGTAAGGATCAAGTAATTAATGAATCTCACTAACGTGACTAAAAAGGTAAAACAACGGACATGGTTTAGTAACAACAGTAGAAACTATAAAAAAATTTTTTTTTTCAAGCGGTTATAGTGGTATTAATTTCTCGATTGCTGCCTGCAAATAAATTGGTTTTTAATGTCGTAAGAATGGCCGATAAAACAGCAGCTAACCTTTATCAACTTATCAAGGTGTAAGCTAAAGCTGCAGAACTTTTATTGAATCATTTTATTACATCACTTTGTGCTTAGTTGGCATAATAGCCACTGAACTTTTTATCAACCTCTTCGTCATTACTGGCTTAACTTAAGACGTTTTCATTTTAACTTCTCTGTTGCAGTTTTTGAATTCTAATTCCCAAAACCAATTATTATTATAATTTTTTTGAAGCACCATAATCTGATATCTCAGCAGATTATAATATTTCAATGGTTTTATTCGTTGTTAATTACTTTCTACTTCTTAGTGCACCAAATGCAAAAATATTTTTTCCGTTTTTTTCACTCTCGCTTTTCCTTTTTTTAGTTTTTTTTATATATTTTGATTTTATTCGCCTTCGTAGCGATATATACTGCATTTGTATATACACAATTTTATTCGTAGTGATATACTTAAAACTGTATAGATTTGAATTATACAGTGTTACTATTGAAGCACACCAATTATATCTGCTTCAATTAGCTTTCCACCAAACGCAACTGTAGCTCTGTTTTAACCTATAACAGTCAATTTTTTAAAATAATATCAACAGCATTGAATAATGCACTTCGTAGTTTGTGAATTTAATAGTTTTAGCTTAGCTTAATGTAATTTTTGCTTGAATTTTTTCCCATTTTGCAGGTAATACAACTTTTGATTGCTTCCACTTCATCTAAGTGCTCAAACAAACATACATATGGAATCGCCTTGTTTAATTTTCCTGTTACACCTTGTTATAATTTTTTTGTTAATTTTGAGTCTTCTAGATACTACTAAATAATAAAACTATCTATGGTATCTTCTCAAAGTTGCATTCAAATTTCTTGATGAGCCGTCACCTTCTGTAACTAATGAAGTCAGTGAGTTTGCTGCTTAACTGTTCAGAAATGATAAAAGTCGATCAAAACGCTTTTTTGAACTGAAAAATTTTTTTTTTTAAAAGACAGAAAGTTTCAATGGTTTATAACGATATTTATATCCACAAACATGCATATCTTTATTGGAAAAATTTAGCAACACACGACTGATGACTTATTTTAAAGTACTCCATTCACTTTTTTAAACAACGCACAATTTGCTTATCTTCAAATCTTTATTGTTACGGGCTGTTTCAGTATTTTGAGGCGCAGATAGTTGTAAAATTGAATTTTTTGGTTAAGTATGATTCTTATTTCATCCTTGATAAAAAGTACTTTAAAGCACGGCACCGTCTGGTTTTGCACATAGAGAATCATCCAGTGCCACATTTGATCAGAAAACCCAGCAAGGCTGCTCTTATAAAGAAAGTAGTCAGCTGACCAATATCGCTGTCAAGCCTTGTCATAGTTCTGCCAAACTCTTGCAGCCCTCGCCGAATTTTGTTTTTTATAGAATTCTGTTCTGCAGTAACTAAGACCAAAACCTTGGAACTTGCTGAATAACGAAGTTTAGAGAGCAGTTCTCCAAAAAAACACTGTTTTTCAAGAGAAGTAAGAAAAATTCTCATTTTCCGTCACCATCTGATAAGAAACCTCTGCAAAAATTTGCTGTGAAAGCTGAAAAATCTTCCCCGTTGTTTCGTAACCGTTTCACAAGTCTAACATAAACGGCTAGTGAAATTGTACAAACCATTATTCTAGTTACGTTTAGATGTTATGGGTACCAGGCTTGTCCTTTTTGTCGGTGTTTTGATTTTGGCGGATGTTAGCCAAATGAAATCGAGGCTGGAAGACAGCAGAAGGAATTGTTCAGATAAAACTTTTAAAACTTGTGCAGTGGTAACCTTGCTCAGATGTAGCGTTCAACGATCCTGTGGAATAACGAAAAAGGTAATTGCTTGGTTGTACATACGAGTGCTGGAAACAATTCCATATGACTCAGGTAACTCGCAAGGAGGAAAGTCGCACCATAGACAATGCATATACAGAGGTGCAGTCTGATTGGCGATCCCAAAATGCTTATTTTAATTCTAGAAAAGTGTATAACGTCCTAAATGCCACAAGATTGTTCTAAAATTTCATTACGTTACAGGCATGCCAAGCCTGGAACTGCTTTGATGAACAAGCAATTTTATTTCAGCGCAATTTTCGGTAATACGCTAAACCTAAAATACCCTCTACGATAACAGTTTTGTTGTCAATATAAGCTCATAATCACCAAGCGACTACTGCTGCAAACAGTCAACATAGCAACGAGGATTAGTACTGAATTGTATCATCACAGAACAGTGATGGGATTTGCGGCACAGAGTTTGACGACCCTCATACGTTATGCATGAAAGCCGGGATTGATAAACTTGTGAATCCTATAGAAAATCTAAGACGCGAACGTGAAAAGCGGGACGTATAATTATGCCCGGTGAAACTGCAGCGAAACTGACACTGGTACCACTGATTGTGAATTCATTCATAGAGCTCAACTGTGAGTGAATTATCCAGCGACCAGACCTAGCGGAACTATATACCGAACTTACTATGAACATTTATTGTGAGAATCCGCAAATGAGGAATTACAGTTGGCATCTTATACTCCATAATAGCACAAACGGCATTATGTATTAAACTTATTGCCTAGAGCAAAGGAAGACCGTTAATAAAGGAGGAAGCGGTGTATGCAACTGACAAAAAGAAAAACTTCTTTCTTTGAGGAATGATAGAAAAAAAGCTATACAAAAATTACTGCAAGTTAGGAAAATTTAAAAAAAAAGTAATTAAAAAAGTAAAACATTTTAGCTTGAAATTACAAGTTTAACCTCTTGGCCACATGTAAAAGGACACCCAGAACCTTTTGGTTTCGTGTTTTTCGACGTTTAAAGATCAATGTCAACTGAGAGTTGACTAAGATTTTAAGCGGAACTTTTTGAGTATTTCTTCTTTGAGAATTTTGCATCGTGTTCGCAAAACACCTAAATTCCATCATTTATCTGCCTCCATTTCTTAAATTCTCAATGAATAAGTCCTCCTTGTTTTCTCGTTTTGATTTCAACTTAGTTGTTTGCCACTACGTTGAGGCTGAGGCTGCCACTGAGTTCTTTATAGTGAACGTTGTCCTGTGCTTATATAACAATCCGCGACTTTGCGGCGTCTTTTAAGCAAAGAAACTCTGTCTGTTTTTCAATTATCAGACCGAAATTGGTAAATAAGGTTAAAGTAATTACAGTTGCAATCAAAACTGGAAAGTTGACTACTCGTTTACAAAAAAAACCGCACTGTATCACTGTTTTTTAGACCATACCAGGAGAAAGATCGTAAAAGTTTTCTGACAATCTTAGGAGAATGTTCGTTTAGCTTCCACATTTAGATACGGACGAGGAATATAGATTCTGCAGTCAATTTCAGTTGAACGGCTACAAACTGTGAACCAAACTCAAACAGAAAAGTCAACCATGATCTAATCAGTTGTAGAAAATATTTCATGGTCACTTTTATTAATAATATTAGTAATAATGATAGCAATAATAGTAACAATAATAATAAATATAATCAAAAATAGAACAAGAAATAAAATAACATACAAAATAACGTGGAAAATGGAATGAAAAATGAAGTAGAAACTAGAGCGAAGTTAAAAAGAGAAAGACGTGGTTGGAAAAAGTGAAAAGTAATGCAAAAATAGAGTGAAAAATAAGATGAAAAAATGAAATTAAATATGAAATAAAAATTAATTGAAATTAAGAAATAAGTAGAACTGTATCCTTTTCTTATAAACCTGCAACAGACGTAATTCTCAAGTATCAGCCTACTTGTAAGGTAATTTTAAAGAGTTCCAAAGGATTACTTCTGAAGAGCTTCAGCAATTCTCGTACAGTTAATAGGTTAAGATCTACTCTGATATAAAATCGCATCTGAATATACTTGAAACTGCAACTGCAAGTGAGGTGAGAAAAATTTTGCAGGTAAATTTAGCCCGCTTTTGGTTTATAACTGTAGTTTTCAATCATACAGATAGAACCGTAAAATGAAGCACGAAGAAGGTACAGATAGTCTGAAGGACCTTGAAGAAATTAATGAAATAAACGGAAAAAAAAATGAGGATTTTTTATTGGAAACAGTGAATGGGCTTTGTGAAAAGATTTCGCATTGGCAGTTAAGAGAACCACCGAAAAAAACGACAACATTTGAAGTAAGAGGAATTTCTGTACAAATAACTCGTTGCCTAAATTAAAATTAACCGAGTCTTAAAAAATAAATTCAGCTCCAGAACTTCTTAACTTTTTTCCTAGTTGTTAAAAGTGGTTTTTTCCAACGCTTTTTATGCTTAAATTATTTGAATAATCTTTTCATTGCTCAATGCAACCAAAAAATTTAATAAAGGAAATTTTGTGTTTAAAAAACTGTTGAATATTTGTGCCGGTCGTTCAATGTGCGACAAATGTAAAGAAAATAAAAAGCAATAAAAAAAATCAAAAATTTACGTTAAGAGACAAAATGAAATAAGAAAACAAAAGTAACAGAAAATCTGAAGATAAAATTACAATAAGAAGTGTCAATAAAAATAGAAATAAATATGGAAAGTTAAAATTAGAATTTAAATGAATCTTAAAGTAAAAGAAAGAAATAAAGAAAAGCAAATAATGGTAAATGAAAACAAAAGTGGAAGTAAAAACGCACAGAAACATACAAATACAGACAGAAACAAAAATTGTAAACATAAAAACAGTACGTAAATTTATTTTATATGTTCTTCTACATTTTTATCTTATATTTTATTTTTTATTCTTTTCTGATTTTCTTATTGTTATCTTTAGCCTTTTTTTTTGTTTTCGTTTTCACTTTTATTCTGTTAATTATTTTCAGCTTTTCTTCTCCAGCTATCTTTCACCTTTTTTCTTCATATATTTTTGTCATTAAGAGGATCATAAAAAAGTACAAATAAAGTTTAGAAAAAAAAGCTGAACAAGATTAAAAATAAAGTTGCAAAAAAAAATTTAGAAATGCGGCCAAAGAAATTTGAATAAAAGCAAAAATTAAAGCTTTACTTGATCTGCCTTACCTCTGCACGGAACAGATCAGGTGCATTAGAAGCTTGATTAATGTACTCAATTCCTCCAGATAGCCTCTGGAGAAAAATCTAGCGTATTTTAATGTCATCAGCTTGATCCTTCAGAATTACAACACTTTTCTGGTATCCATCGATACGTATATGAATATATACGTATATATCGATATATACGTATATATCGATACGTATATATATACGAGATCAATTTAACAGCTCAATTCAGTACAACTAAAAACGAATAACTTACACGGTTCTGCAGTAAGCGTATAAAAAGTAACTTTCCAAATTTTACCAAAATTAACTGTAAATCAAAATGTGCTAATAATCAGCTTAACAGCAATACCGGCTAAAAGAAATAACTACTTTACAGAACTTTAATCTCCAGTTTGACCGAAAAGTTCAAAAAAAAATTTTTTACGTTTGATTGTAAACTTTTACCGCATACAGTATCCGCTCTGCCGTGACCTTTACCTCACCGAGACATTTCATTAAAACGTTGATCCCACATTAAAACCAGGCATTTACCAAAATGGAACTGGTAATCTAAACCAGCATTGCTCCAGCTCTAACGAACAGTCAGGCAGAAAATTAGGTCTTTTTGTTACAGATAGCTTAAATGTGTAAGTAAAATAACCTATATAAAAAGATAATCAACGTCAAATATTCAATTACAGACAAAGATGGGCTTGTGTCTGGATTCTTAACATAGTAACTGGTCGTCAAAATGTTCAAAAGCTACCAATTAATGATATTTTATAAGTATAACAGCATTAAACTTTGTAAAAAAAAATCAATTTGCTAACGGTATTTACCAGCAAGGTCGTCAGTGTGGAGAAAGGAATAGCGGAAAATAGATGGAGTTTTATTTGGAATCCGTAGCGTTTTTTCTGTAACGAACATCCCAATCGACAGGAAGAATGGTTTTAAGAAGTTCTAATACGCCTGGAAGGAAGTAACCTTATCAAGCGAAGATTCACGCCATGACTAATTTTTTTCTGATACAACGGGAGCGTCTTATAAATTTCTTTTTCCTTATAAAATCACATATATTTTAGCATGTTTTAAGCTGCACGCAGTAAGTGTAGTATCTAAACTCTTTGTTCTGTGTCTTATTGATGTAACAGCACCGGTTTTATTTTATATTCTCTGTTATTTGTTTCGTCGTTCTATTTTACAGCATACTGCATGTGCTGTCTCGCGCATTCATGTTATAGTTAATCCGCTTGCTCACTTAGTGTTTTATTTGTTCATGGTTTTTATAATTTTGACTGATACAGTCCATATGTGTTGCACTTCCATATTGCTATTTTTTGTTATTTTGAAGTTACATCTTCTACTACTTTTTGCGCGCACCGCTACTAAAATAGGATTTGCATATTGAAAGACTAAACATTTAATTTCCTTTCACAGAAGAAGAATCGAACTGGATTTTGATAAACTGAAACAAAGACTTATCTTCCTGAAAGTGGCTTATTATCTTAGTTTATGATCGCCTCTATCTTCCCCAAAACTTCTCAAGAAGGAGTTTCAGTAGTTAAACAGATGCAAAATGTCGAACATTGCTACAGATATAGAAGATGGCTGTTAGCACTTTTTTTTTAAAAGTTTTTTTGTGAATTTTTAAACGAGAAACAACTTTTGATCAGATATCCGTTAGGGTTAACCGAAATAAAAAATGATACAATTTAATAATGATCTGATTGAAACTGTAACGCTGTCTATGGCAGAGCCGCCAACACGCTACGTCAGGCAAAGATTATCTCCACCTTAGTCCCATCAATAGCGTAATTACTCATCATACCACTTTTTAATTTCAATATTTTATGCTAAAAAATCATGACTTCAAAAAACATATTTTCTTCCAAAAAAATTCAAAATATAAGCTTTTTTTAGCGATGACTTTCTGACTTTTGTTTTTGCTTTAATCTTTTATTTAGCGTACTAAAACACATATTTGATCACCCCCGAATCTGTGGAAGAAAAGCTTCCAAAGAAAAAATATTTCAAAATTCCGCCACGACCAAACAAAATAAAACCCTTTAAGATGACCGTGTTTGACAAAACTGCAATTTTCCACTTCGGATCAGGCTGATCTTGGGCCAGCGCATTTTTGGAGGCACCCCTTTTTGATTCCTTGATCAAGTACCGAAGCGAACCCCAATAACCAGTTTGAGGAAGATAAATGAGATCGGTTGAAAAGTATGATATGGCTATTTCTATATTTATTTATCTATTCACTTATTTATTCATATTTATACATATTTACGTGAAATTTACTTATCTGTTTTCCCAAAACTTGAAAATTTGCAGTTCCAGTTTCATAACACAGATTCAAGCTGGCAGTTTCC